TTTGTAAGAGTTAAATCCTGAATCTTAAAAATCACCTTAATAATTAACTACTTGTTGGCTGCTTAACATATGATAAATTATAAATATAAATGTAGGCTTATGATCTTACTAATGAAGCTTTTATATCAAATAAAACAAAAAAATTATATTGCAGACTGAAATTGTTACGTTAACATGAGTGCGGACAGACATTCTTAATTCAATTTTTATTAGACCATTTAGGTAAAGTGATAAACTTAAATAACTTAAATTAGAACAAATGTTTAAAAAATTAAAATTAATATAAAACTTTTACTTCGACGAATACATTTTTTTGATTTTCATATTATTTTCGAAACATTTTTTACATACACATTTAGCAAATTTTTAATAAATAATCTAATATGTGACATTTTTTAACAATATTATTAATATTTGTATGAAATATATTTATATAAAATATTTGATAAAAATTAATTCATAGAAAGAACATAACGTATCATTGAGAATATCTTAAAATAATTTTCTTACTAAAACTGAAAATTATTTTTTGGTAAAGGTATGGTTTTCGTTTTACACACGACAAGTTATTGTTCATTTGTTTTATAATAATCGGGAAACATTCTATAGTCATTAAGTTATATTAAGTTATATAAAATCCGTAGGTACATTGTTATTTCTCTGAACTTTCTTAACAATTAAATACTTTTTATACATGAAAGACTACTTTTTACTATGCACCCGGCGATAGACTTGCGCAAATGAATTGACGGCGGCAACATTGATACCCACTAAATTATTATGTTTTTAAGTAAGAGTAAAGGTACTACAAAAAATTATATTTGAATAAAGCATGTGTGAAAAACGAGTTAAGGGTAAATATTCGGTTGATACAATAGATGTATTTTTGATAAATGGATCCTTTGTATTACACACAGTTGAATATGCTTTTTATCGATTTACATTCAAAACAATAAGTCAATATTTTGTGCGATATGTATTTGTAAGCAGTAAGACTTCGACCAGAGCGAACAATAAAAAACCTGTTTTTACAAGCTGTTTGACGTACTATTCCGGGTTATCAACCACGGAGGTTAGTTTCATCAATTGCGGATAATTTAAAAATATATACCGGATACTTAATAGCTAACCAATAAATACAACGCGTATATGGTACAATATAAGGTTTGTTTGATATTTTAAATAATTTGAACAACGATATAAATAAAATGTGTACAACCCTTCTTAATCACCATGTTAGTAGAGTGGACAAGTTGGAAATAATAATAAATAATTCATATGATAATAATTATAATGAGAGGTGGTTTAAAACCGACTCACAACAGTCGTGTATATGCAGTCCGAGGAAGACGACGATGATGGCGATGATATGTAATGACGGCGATGGCTGACAAACTTGACTGATTGAGTGATACAACATGTATATATGTGATTTTGGTGCTCAAGGTACAATGCAGGTTTTGTTTAATAGTATTTTGTAATAATTACTCCGCAACAGCGACAAAAACCCGTACGAAAAACAACACAACGACGTACCTGTGTTCAAACGTTTGACGATGATGCACGACGTCCGTAGACCACTATGTCGACCGTTTTTTAAAGCAGTATAATTCGGGCGGTGGTTTAACACAAGCCGTAAATTTTGTTTATTAAAGTACATATAAATGCGTGTATACATATTATTATTATAAAAGTGTAATGCTTTTTAATTAAGATGTACGATAAACGTCCGAAAGCCAGCAACACGGCCGCAGGGAATTTTTTATTTTCGAACTTTGGCATTATTGCAACTTACTGCGGGATAAAACAAACGAATCGAGATCAAAACCGTTTCGATACGTTGAAATCTCTATCCGTGAGAGGTTTATACGATGGACGAATCATGTGAGTCATGTAAGTCGTGCGCATCCGCCACCTGTATCACTGATTATATAAAGTGTGATGTGAGAAGTTTGTCCATTTTGTCGCACAAAAAGTTTAGGTTAGGAATCATTCAGGTGGGTTTGTATCTATACTTTCCAGACGTCCCTCGTTTATCCGAACGACTCGATCGCGTTGTTCGGTTAGCTTATGTACCGTATATTTAACTAACTATAGAGAAGTGGATGCGTGTATCACAACTCTACGTGTTGCTCTTCTATCGGGTTGACGGTTAGACGTTACGTGACGGAAAAGTCATACGAAATCAGTTGGACGACTCTTCGCCGATGAACTCGGTCCCGTCGCTGCGACGGCGGCCACCGCTTCTTCTTTTCTTTCTCGAGGAGCTTCTCCTCCTAGTCGATCTTATTCTCTTTCGGCTGACACTCCGACGACCCCTTCTAGCCATCAACAGGTTCTCGCGATCGGCGTTCATTGTGTTCTCGTTGATTTCTTCCTCATCGTTGTCGCTGACTACGCCTCCGCTCTGATTCCGACGACCACGTCTACTGCCTATTCTACTACTGCGCTCCCTTGTACTACTCCTACTCCCGGATATCGCGTCTCCGGTCAGCTGATCTTTGTCGTATTCATCGTATTCAGTATCGTGGCTCTCGCTCTCATCGTCCGCTTCACCTCCCGAAGTATCGGGACTCGCTGTACGGTTCCCGATTCGCCTACGACCTGATCGGGACCTTCTGAACGACTCTGTCTTTTTGTGCCCGCCGCTTCTGGAGCTACTACGTCGGGTTGACATTCTACGGTTGCCTCGTTGCAAGCCAATCATGACTTTGGCGTTGGCCGCAGTTTCATTCGCCTTGACAATGTTGTGGTTGACGCCTTCACTATTAGCACTGGTGGCACGGCATCTTTTCGCAGAATTTTCGTTCGTAGGTCTATCGAATGACGTTTGATAGTTTCCTCCCATATTGTTTGATTCGAGCAATAGTTAATAATACAATTTTGTGGATATAATTTAAATCCAGTGCAATTCCAATGTATGTTAAAATAGTATGATTTTACGGCGTCACTTACCGTACTACTGTTCAATAAATGAATTCAGTAAATAGTTCAGTAAATAAATAAAATTCAGAGTACTGCAATGCACTTACGTTTTGTTTTTGGCCAATATTAGTAACAGTTTTTGAAAACATAATTCAAATATTAACCACGTATATTATAATTTATCACGTAGACGTTCTGAGAGGAGACATCAAACTTAGACGCGTAATTAGGAATCTGTCTAGAAGAGATTTACACATTTTAAAGTAGTCGTTATGCAGTCGGTGTAACAATACGATATAGGTTTTAAGTTATCAATGAATATTATTACGGCTAAATAATGTAAGCACATACTTTAATTTATACTAAATTTATTAATGAAGAACAATATTCATTCTGTGAAATGATTTTTTAGCATTGCTTGAAATCCTACCATATCTTAGTCATATGTTTGATTACTTTCATATACTATAAATTAATTATTGCCTTATAAATATGATTCTTGAAGAAAATCGATGTGTCTTATATCCATACAATGTAAAAATTATATTTTACTATGATTTAAAATAATGCTTACTTCAGATGTATCATTCAATTAAATAATTTAATATATTTTTATAGTACAATGGTATTACAATGCTAAAAACTACAAAATTATGTTCTATTTACGAGTATATTTAGACGAGTTCTAAAAAAAATAATATTATTACGATGAATTTTTTATAAATTATTCTGTATTAAATTTTTTGACATAGATATTATTTGTGTATAGAAATTAATTTTCATATATAATAAGAGAGAAACAACTTTTATTTCACAGTTTGGCGATAACGTTCAACATGAATGCATGCTATTGCGTTCGCTCCGTTATCGGGTTTTTACTAAGTAATTCGACCGTTTCGTTTTAACGTACAATATAAAACATGGTTCGTTTCGTTAAAAGTCCGCTTCACGCATCTACGTCCTCCAAACGCATATTAGCAAACAGTTCTTTGTCTCCCCTTCATGAAGGAAAAAAGACAAAAACATTTACTTCACCTAACTGTTACGCCGTTCTTACCACAGTCGACATCAGTGATGACACCGTATTTGATGCGACTCTATCACCTTCCCGAGACTACACCGTATTTGATGTGACTCTATCACCTTCCCGAGACTACACCGTCGTTCATTTATCTCACCCCATGGACCTGGAAGACCTGGCGCCACCCCTCTATATAAGTAACATTATTAACTTCTCCGCATTCAATTATAAATTAAGACCGCCGTCCCCAACTTATATTAAAAATGGTTGAATTTAACAAACAATAGTATGAACAGTAAAAAAGAATAAAAATATATGTTGGATACAGCCATAATTATACACTTACGATTGTAAATTATTTCCAAAATTATCGGTTTATGGATAATTAAAATTAAAGTATCGATTAGCAGCATACCGTTCGTACTTCCAAACTGTTCTTGTCCAAATCTTGTTACGTACAGAGTAATTTTCATTTTTTTTTTTTTTTTTTTTTTATGTAACGTTTTAGTGATTAACTATCCTATCATATTGTACATTATATATAAATACTGCTTAATGGTACACTACATTACTACAATAAACATTAAACACCTAAGTACGTATTGATAATAATGATTATACATAAGTCTTCATAGATATTATTAGAATATGAAATATTGTCCAAAAAATAACATTTTTTGAAAATATCTTTTTTTTTATCTAGATAAAAATTAAATTATCTTTTATCTTTATCTAGATAAATTTTGCATTATCTATTCCCAACACTGTATTTCAAACTTTTTAGACATTTTGCACGAATCGCTTAAAATATAGTGACAATAAATAGTATTCAATGTAATTTAGAAAAATTTTGAAATTACATCAGTAGCATGAGTGATAAAAAGCATATTAAAGCGATATTCGCTACCAAGGAAACTAACACCAAATAAATAACTACCTACACGATTTATTTCGATTTTTCATAAACCTATATCTTTTGTTAATATGAAAACTAATGTTTGATTTTTATATATTATACAGGATTATTATTGTTTTGTGAAATGAAGACTGAAGACAATGATGATGAGGTCGAAGACCCGCGTTTGGTTTACATTTTTAATTACTTAATTAAGGCTTGGAAAATCAAAAGCGATGTTATAGACACAATGATGCGAAACCCGGATTTTAATGTGAGTATATATATAATATACTAATTCGGCATACTTTTCTGTGACTAAATCAACAAGTAATAATACGCACATCGCACAAATTTAATATTTTAAACAAAGTATGTCTTCGTTACGATCAATCTACTTGTATATTAATAATACTATTCGTAGAATATAAATCTATTTGAGTGAACAATATATATTTGTATTAAAAAATGTGTTTTCCCTTTCAATTATATTTTTGGTAATATTACTACCGTGGTAGTAAATGGCTTCAGACTTGAGCCTTTAAGAGTATGATCTAGTTCTACTTTTATTTGGTTCGACGTAAAACAGTCTTCATATTTATGTTTTATTTTAAATATTGGTGTTCATTATTATAATTATTACATTAGTATTTTATTAATTATTTTATTTGTTCTTAAGCCTTGCGCATTTCAGCAGTTACAACCGAATCGTGTTAAATTTTTAATACGAAGCAGCGATTAATTGGTTTCAATAGAGTAAATATAAATTTAAAATTGTTTAGTCATCGATTATTATAATATAATATGAAGGATATACTATTACATATGAAAACCAATGGTCTAGTATTTTATTATCAATTGCTTAGTGTATAATACTGTGTATGGCTCTTTAGTGGCAACAAACCCCCGACAAAAAAATAATATATTATTATAATTGTTAACCAGTAAAATATTAATATCCTTCCAATATGCTTCTGAGTTGCACTTATAACGTCATGTTGGAAAACGTATCCCACGTGTTTTCATTTATTATACAGTGTACTCTTTGATTATCTGCGAAATAGGGTGGCGTGGCATTCACGGATAAGCGAATTCTGCGGATAATTCACTTAGTTCAAATTTAAACGAAAATTAAAGAATTTTATAACAAAATTTTTTTTTTTTATAATTTCATATAATATGACTTACAATATTTATACTATTTGTTTTTTGACAAAATTTAACAAGTTGTTGTTCTTTTGTTTGAAAACACTTATTTTTAACTTGCGATTGAAATTTTTTCAACAACTAACCTAATCGTAATGATGTTTATATGTATTATGTAAAGAAATATTTTTTTTTATATGTACATATGTACATGGTTGGTTCTGCATAAAATCGAGGATAATTCACCCGCGGATAATTGAGAGTACACTGTATTAAAATTATATTAAAAGTATGTTCGATGTAATTCTAGAACAAATGCCAAAATTCTAAGATCACAAAAATGTATTTATCCAGTATTCGCTGAAGTAGTTTTAACACTAAACTCGTTTTTACGTCTGTTGTGATTACTCCGAGATTTTTAAGTTCTGGTTTTATTTGAATTTTTAGTTTATGGTTATGGATTTTATTAAATCACCGGATAAATGTAAAATTTTATTTACCCTGAACTCGGCTGGTTTAATGACTCCAATGGATGAATTTATTCATAGTTTCAAGACAAAAGTGTCTTATATTGTAAAACTTGATTCTGTTGAAATCACTAATGATAACTTTGAATCTCAACTTATATGCGGTGAAGTGTCATCAAATCCTATTGAGGATTTAAAAACAGCAGCTGAAACTGTAAGTGAAAAGTGTCATCAAAGCTTAGTGCAGTTTATTTTGTTTAATTGATTTACTTATTCTACATAGATTTTGTTGAATTTGTCTTCCGAAAATAACGATGTACTCATGAATGTATCAAATGATGTTATAGTGGACGTCCAGGATAAGTTTAATGACTTCCTTTCGAACATAAATAACACCATAGGGAGCTTCAAAAATCATCTGAGCTTGACACTACCTTATGGGTTTGAACACATCACTACTGCATTGGATGAATTCAAGAAAAGGTAATATCAGTGTTTCTATTTATATTTCATTTGTATGGATGTTATTTCATTGGTTTCGATTTTAGAACACAAAATTTCTTATGTACAGGTTCACACACAATTTGTTGTCAATAAAACATTGAGATCACTGAGTCATTTTTGGTTTTCACGTATTCTTTTTTTTAGATGTTCTACTTATAGTAGGCTAATGGGTGATAAATGACTTGTAATACTAGGTTCAATATTCGGTAACGGGTTTGGTAAAGAAATAAATATGCTTGGGTCAATTGACTAATTTACAATTCATGTCTATGTCACTAGATCAACTATCATACGTATTAAAAAATAGTTCTCTGTTGAATATCAAACACTTCTCGGACTATTATGGAACAAAGTGAATGCGTTATGTATGAGAAAAATAGTCGATTTAGCTGTAGATTTTTTTAAATCACCTTCTGTCTAAATTTTTTTGCAGAATATTGTTTAGTAATTAAGAGAACTAATTTATATGAATTACCTTGTAATTTTTTAGATATGCTTCCGTAAATTTATACTTTCTCAGTTAATTAACAGGAATACAATTCTGAACAGTGGAAAAATTTTAACTAAAATGTATCGTGTAAAGAGTGATAAAAACATTTTATTCGTTGCTTAAGTTAAAAAAAAAAAAAAAAAAATTAGATTGTATAATTATATCAATGTTAAGTAAAGGTATCACATTAAATAGATTAAATCTAATAGGAATCTTAATTTCTTTTAAAAATATATTAAGTTATTTTATTATATCTATAAATACTTTTTTTTTTAAAAAAACTGACTTTTTTAAATCTGCTAATTTCATTATTATTAACTAAAATGATTAGTACATTTTTTTTAGATTATTTTCCTTTCAACAAATTATCAAGTAGTAGACCGCAAAACTATTTTAGAGAAACCTAAATTCGACAACATTTAATATTATGTACAAGATTTTTACAATTTTTATTATTCATTTTTTTATTCTGAAAAAGTAAAGCCCAAATATGATATTTTAGAATCATCATATGATATCCTAACTGAATACTACGTTGCACTACAGTCTTACTTTGATTTAGGTATGTACCATTAGAGGAATGATTAACCATTATATAAATTCAATGCATTTCTGGTTTTGCTTGGAATCTAAAAATTATTATTATGTTAATTATAATTCTATGTCTGAGGATTTAAATTTCTTCGAAAATAATCGGTAAATACTTATTACTATGATAATTGAGTTTTTGTATATTTAGTGATGGAAGAATCATAGATGAAGTATTAAAACAGAGATTGGAAAAAAAAGTGTGTGCGTGGTCCATTGAATTAAATAGAATAGTAGCAATCAAACCTAATGTGATAATGGAAAAAGATCCTCTGGCATCATCGGCAGACTGTAAATATTAATTCTTATACTTTTATTAAAAAAATACAATTTAAAGTTATTATTATATTTTTCTAGCTGTTAATTATCATTATATTTTTTAATCGCTAAATTATATCTATTACATATTTTGATAATATTGAAACTATATAATTAAAAAACTTTAGTTTAGATATCGACTATGTAACTAGCCATTTTATTAATTTATTATTTTATTATTTTATTGCTAATCACAACTACACCACTCATAGTATCATAATAGTCGATGATATGTTTTACTTAGGATATCAGTTATCTTCTTTTTTATTATATAATTATTTTGACACGATAAAAAATTGAATCTGTATTTTTTTATAATATTTCTAAAAGTTTATTTTTCAATTGCTTGATAATTCTTAGTATACTATATATATACAATTAATTTAAGTATAGTATTTTATTTTCTTCCAAAAAAAATAGTTGATTTATAGTTTAATTTCTTAACTATTTGTATTGTATAAAACTTGTATAATTTTACTATTATATATATATATATATATATATATATATATATATCAGGGCTTTAAACCGTTTAAAACCGTTTTTTTTGTTAACCGGTTTTATTGAAAAATGTGTATGAACGAAAACAAAAATGGAACCACAATTACTAATTTTATAGAACGAAAACGAAATAGTTAATCAGTAAAATATTTTTCGTTCTCGAATGGAAATAAATTTACATTTTTAATTACGAAAAATAATTAATATTCAATTTTAGTTTTTACACATTTTGTTAAGTTGGTCAGCCTGTTTTGTTTGACATGAGACAGGTAAAAATTATTAGATAAATATAAAATAATTTGCAAGATAAAAATTGAACAGTTGGTAAGTGGGACTACTGGTCATAACCCCCCACTACTAAAGATAATATGTGAACACGATTAATGACAACCAGAAACCACATTTTTTATTGTTATAATACCACTTTTAATGGACGATGGTGTTATCTTAAATTGTATCAAATATTTGTAAATTTGTTCAACATTTTGAATTAATATGGTTTTTCTTTTTTGTCTTACTCGATAATAAATATTGCAATTATTTTGTTCATTATGTGTGTTAGTCTATTCAATATTGTAATAAAAATTTAAAAATGTGTATTTTATTATTTATTGTATATTAATATACGGCCTCTGTAGCTGAAAAAAATATATTATAAATATATAAATCATGAACTTAATTTAAGAATATCTCACGATAGTTAAATTTTCTAATTAATTATTTCATAATTATGATAATGAATTGTTTGCGATATAAAATTGTTATAAGAAAATATATTTTTTTAAAAGAACAAAATTAACCGGTTTTAAAAAACTATAAAATATAAGATCAATATTAATCATTTTTTAAAACCGAATAATATGGTAGATGAACTAAAACCATTAACCACAAAAAATCATTATGATTTGAAGCCCTGATATATATATATACATAATTTAGATTATACATCAATATGAAAATAAAATTAATATATTTCCAATTTATACCAATAGACATAGTTTTCTGGAAAAATCAAGAAAAACAAATTTCCCTATTTTATGAACAAATAGATCAACGAATCGGTGATTTTTTGATTGTCACGAATAGTCCATATGTTGATTTATACAGAGAAATAAAAGAAAGGGCAATGACTGGTAAAATGCAATTTTACTAATAGTCACATTTTTTTTTTTTCATTTAAATCACAACTACACTAATAGTTATTTTGTTTTATCCAGTAAAAAGAGAAGTAAATCTCATCAACACGTTCTTGGCTACACTTGTTAAGCATATAAATATAGTCGAGGAAGAGGGTTTGGTTGAGTCAAAAGTAGAACTGACCGTCTTATGGAGAAAATTGGCTTGTATATGGTTAAACTGTCCGAACTTCCAAAATTATGATTACATTATTGTTTTGATAAAAGTTCTTTGTAACATGATTATGATTCAAGTAAATAATATTAATAAAAGTAATATCAATCTTGCATTTCTTAAAAAAAATTAAAATTATGTTTAGTCTTCAAGATACTTAGAACCGACTGCTTTATTTCAAGGCGAGCTCGTGGAGAACTTGGGTAAAGTCGATGATATCAAAGATATTCTTAATTATTTCAGGTATTTTAGTTACTAAATATATACACGTGGTATTACGTTATTCTGATATATATATATATTATGTTAAACCGTTTACAGAGATCAGTTTAAATATATTCAAACGGAATATCTTCCCAATAAATTTGAAAAATTTATGTTGGAAAATCCTTCTGCTCGCAATCACAGACCACGTTATTGGAACTTCCATACAGACGACATATTTGGAAATCTCTGCATGTTTGAAGATCGATTAAACTCTATGAGGGTATGCAATATATCATTAAATATTATTTAGGAGTGCGATATTTACCCGTTTATGGATTCATTACAGAAGACGTAGAATGCCGATAGTGTCTACAATACGATAATTAAAACTAAAATTTGATCTCATGATTTGATTTCTCATAAATTTCATCATGTTAATAACTTGTATTTTTTTTTTCTAGGCTATGTTAATTAATTTTATTGACTATCAAAATTTGGAAAAAGTCGAGATGGGTGGTCTTATGGGTCGTTGGTATAGTTCTACTATCGAAGAGGTGTCTTTGCTTTTTTCAAAAAACCTTGAGAATATGAGTTCCATTACGTACGACCCGTTGGATATGTTAAATGATGAATTTAATGCTTCTTTTCTAAAAGATTACGATAACCATTTGGCTATTTCAAATGATATTGACAATCGTCTTGCAACGATTTGTAAAATTTGTTTCGAAAAGAGCGATAATTTAATGGCAATACAAAAGGTAAATTTTTGTTCTTTTTATTTTGAAAATTAAAAATAACTAAATTTTTACTTGAAATAATAATATTATTTAATATTAATACTATTAACAATAATAATAATAATAATAATATTAATAATAATAATAATAATAATAATAATAATAATAATAATAATAATA